CAGAGGCTGCCTCCTGCACGCCCCCTACTGGGGGCCAAGCCCTGAACCCCGGGCCTGTGCCCTGACCGGAAGCGAGCTGGTGCCCGCTGAGCCACACCAGCCGGGCTGTTTTCACCTCTCGAATTGGGACACTGTCTCCCTGTTCATGAATTCCTCGGCATACACCTCAAATACCACCATCATCACTGATATAAAGAGAATTTTGGAGGAAAAAACCCTCTATTGAAACTTTGTGTTAAGAATCTACTCTGCGTTCTCGCAACTGAGCTCACTCATCACTGACGTCACACCCACCAGGTGCCGGGAAGAACCTGTCGCCTCTACGTGGCGAGCAGCTGTGCTCTTTCGGACCCAAACCCTTCATATGTTCTTCACAACAGGGTTTGCGGTCACATGGTGGCAACGTTCTTTCCCTGAACCCCGAGGGCCGGCCAGCGAGGATGGAGGGTGGAAAGGGCACCGTCCCTCTCTCTTCCTGAGATGCACCCGTGCCCGCCATCAGCGCTCAGGCGCCAGCCCGGGCAGCTCCGCGGTTCGAGTGCAGCCCAGTCACCCAGGTTGTGGGTTCCGCCCGGGTGAGGGCGCAAACCAGAACCAACCACTGGCCGCCTAAGTAAGTGGAACAACAAACCGATGTTTCTCTCTAAAATCAACCCATAAGCTAAACATGAAAAAAACCCAGCACTCAAGTGCCAGGTAGAAACTGCTCACCTGACCAGCCTGTCAGCCAGGGACGCGCCCCATCCGCCCTGTTGGAAAGAAAACTGGAGAAAGAGCAGCCCGTTAGTCCTGGTCCCTGTCCGAGGCCATGGTGGCCGCCGGGCACCCCGCGCCGGGCTGGCCCTCACCCCGCTCTGCTCCGGGTCAGGGAGGGACCCCCGCAGCCCGCCCGGCAGCGCCCTGCCCCCTCAGAGGGACGGGCCAGCTGCCTACACTTCGCTGAAACCTGCTATCAGTCGCTCATCTAGAAAAGCTCCTTCAGGAACTTTGTACAGTCGGTACAGGCAACTGTGTGCTGAGTTAGGAAGTGAAACCTCGCTGCCCTCCCTTCCCCCCGTTGCAAGAAGCCAGGGCGACTCCTCACAGAACTCGAGGTGAACGTCGAGGAGGCATCCCCACGGGCCCGGAAGCCCTCCTGCCCCGATGCCCCAGCATCCTCCGCCCGGCACAGACGCAGAACAGCGGAGGGAGGCCTGTCTGCGAGCCGGGAAGTGAACTCGTAACGCGCGCTCCGCCCTGAAGCGTGAGCTGAAGTGATGGCGGGTGGAAACAGGATCAGCTTTGCTCTCGGAGGCCTGTCATTCGGGCTCAGCCTGTTCCGCCCGCGGACGCAGAGGGGCGGCTCCGCGTTCCCCGCCCCGCACCGGCTGCGCCGGGCCTGGCGGACACCGGGCGCCGACGGGGCGGGAGCGCGCCAGCTCGTGCGGTGGAAGAACCGCCGCCGCCAGGAAGATACCGAGACGACGCGCCTCGCTCTCCCCAAACCCCCGGACAGAGCATGGAGCGGGCCCTCGGCTCCGGCACCTGCGACCTGAGGAGCCAGCGCGCCGGCTGCGGGCCACGCCGCGTCCCCAGGGCCAGGACCTGGACGCGGGGGCTGAGGAGGCCACGCCCGCGGCTCTCGGAGGGGACGTCGCCGAGACACCGCCCTCTGAGGGCCGGGCCGGGGCCTGCAGGCGGGCCGGGTCGGGCGGCGGTACCTGGGTGATGGAGTCTCCGAAGAGCAACACCCGGGGCCAGAGCAGAGAGCTCCCGCAGCCCAAGCCCTCGCACAGCGACATGCCAGGCAGCGGACAGTGCCCGCAGGGCGGATATCCGGGCGGGGCGAGCGGGGGGCGGAGCTAGAGGCGGAGCAGGGCGGATATCCCCACCGGGGCGAGCGGGGGGCGGAGCAGGGCGGATATCCGAGCG